GTATATACTGTGGAAGTTCACTTTCTTCAACTTTTCTTGCTCATAAGAAAACAAGGTCTGTGATTTTTTACATGGCGCATCTAAAAGTGATGAACCTGGCATTACTACAGGCCTGAAAATAAAGATATTCCTGTTTAGACAAAGCAGGTTCTATTGATATCTCAAATAAATGTGAAAGCAGAAAATAAATGATTCTGTAAGCATCTGTGTTCATTCTCTCTGCCATCTTTTCTCTCTTTCTCTCAGATCTGCAGCTCTGTTGCTTTCTCTATTTCTCTTAGCTCTTTTGATCAGCTTTCTCCTCCTTCCCTTTAGTTGCCAGCCAGATGTTCTTATGACATGTAGAGCTTTCCAAATAAATTATTTGCTTTGTAGAGTAGCCATGTCTGCAATCACAACCTGGCCAGTTGTAAATTGTTTCAAGTGATGCATTGTCTTAAAAAAATACACTGATGTGCGTTTCTGTGTTCAACTCTGTGATTTGCACAAGCTGCAATTTTTGTCCTTCCTTTGTCAAGGGTGGCGGAAGCACCAGAGCGGATCATTTAAATAAATAGAGAATTTTGTTCCTTCTGTGCCCCTGTCTTCCAGATGCTGAGATGCTCTGAGTCAGCACTGCTGAATGCTAGGGGGAGGCAGCACACACCTTTTCAAACAGAGAGAGACAGTCTTGTTTCTGCTTTAAATAGGAAACTTTTTACTTTCCTGCTGCCCAAATATTAATCTTCAGCATTTATACAACATTTTGAACTTCTGTATTTTCTGTCTGTGATATTTTGTTTTCTGTCTGTGATATTTTATTTTCATGATGCTCCTTGGATGCTGCCAGGTAGAAAAAGTAAGGCAAGAAAAAACTCTTGCATCATCCAGACTGACTGACCTGCATTTTGTAGGTCTATAAGTAATTGCTACCACCATGACTCAGACAGGAAAGCTAGGCATATCATCTAAAAGATCTGCCAAAGCAGACAAAAGAAGATGCTGGCAAATGTTTGACTGTTTTTATTGCATGCCTAAAACAACTACAATAATAATAATAATAATAAAACCCAACTATGATTTGCTGCATCTTTACTGCGGGAGCTTGAAAATAATTTTCCTTTTCCTGTGCACGGAGATGGCACCTCCAGATACCGTGGGCATGATTAACGCATTCAATGCGTACAGTTAGTATCTGTCCAAAAGACAGCATGATGTGCATGCACGCAGCTGCCCCTAAAACCGATCAATATGTTTAACTATGACATTGTATTAAGATACATAGTGGTGAGAAGATACATAGTGGTGAGAAATGGTGCCTCTGTATCTTTTGTTTTTACATCCTGTAGCAGTAAAGAAGCTTACTCATCTGTGTGTACATGCAGACTACAACTAGCAAGTGTAGGACTGTCCATGTGGCTGTTGATCTCTTAATAAACGAATTCCTCTTGGACCAAATTTTATCTCCCATTTACAACTAAGATAAGACAATACAAACAGCAACAACAACAACAACAACAAAAATCAGAAGAAGAAACTGAGACAAACACATAATTTGTACTAGATAAAAAACAAGCAAAGATCTCGAGAAGAGGAGAAGGTTAATGAGTTGAAGCCCATTTCTTACTATTCTTGCAAATTTTTTGGAGTGCTCTGGTTCTAGCAACAGTGGGTCTTGTGTTCAGCCATTTCTAATAATCTAAGAGCTGTGGGTGATGAGTTGCTCATTTTGTTAGATTTTAGGAGGAAATGTCTAAATGAATCGACTGCACATTGGAATGATCCTACACACTCCATTTCTGAAGCTGAAGCAGATTTCCTTTCTTCTACAGATTTCACTTGGCTGTAGCATATAGGTCTTTAAACTCAAAAGTGCCAGAAGTCAAACCATTAGCTCCAGCTTGAGAGCTCTAGACGCCCTAAAGGCAGGTTGCATCCACATCTGCATGTGCCAGATATGCTCAGGGCATCAGGGTGCTGACAGCACAGATCCTTGGGTCCTGCCTGGTGATGCTGAAGCAGAAACATGGGATTTCTCACCTCAGCTTTCAGCATGTAGGTTGGCTATCCATATATATATCTAAAAGTTAGGTATCTAATCCCATGGGAGCCAATGGAGAACATGGTAATGCTGTTTAGTACAACAAATTTATCTGCAGCAACAATAGAAAAACCCTGTACGACTAGCTTAGGCTAATTGCTCAGTATCAAGGGTGGAATTTAACTATCAAAAACAGTAAAATGCTCTCAGGTTAGAAAAGCAACTTTTCACACCTATACGAAACAACAATTTGACCATAAATAACCACACAGAACATCAGATAACTGGGACATAGACTCCTCTTATGGGGAGAAGACACATTTTAAATATTTGTATGACTCTCAATAACACACTGTTTTAAATAGCTGTTAATGTTCTGTGCATTTATTGTCATACTGCTTTATGCGGTTCATTGGATTTTTCCATTGTAAAGATGGAGATGTGAGTAAGAGGTTAATTGACTTGCACAAGATTTGATATGGGGACATGTGGTAAAATGGGAAAATGAATCAAAGCTTTCTATTACTCTAATGACTGCATTCATAATTTCCAGGCTGTTGTCCTAGACACTTGGCCACCATTTTTCTGTCATGAAATGTAGTTCGTTGCTACTAAAACTATTGCTCACTTAGTATAGCAAAGAACTATTGTGCTTTGGACTTCTGAACATTCTAGAGAATGGCCAAAGAAGCAGAGAGCAGAAGATGGTTTTTTGATTGATATAAATCACTCGTGGCTACTGGTTGCTGCAGAAGTTTTAACCATTTTCCCCTCTGTAAATGATTGGTATTCCCATGCTCTTTCAAGGTTTTGCAACCCCACACAATTATTGGAACAAACTCATAGATTGTAGAAGGATTGGGTTTACCTTAAACACAGGGCAACAAAACTATTAAACTTCTAAGGCCCACCACTGTATGTAATTTGTGTATAACATTCTGCAAAATATACATATCAGTTACGAATCTACAATCAATTTTATTGTTAAATGTTGTATTTAAACTCCACAGCTGGACTTTCATCTTGAAAGAAGCCAGATAGCCCTGTGCATCTGGTTTAATCTTCCCTTAAGCCATATTATTTTAAAGGCACTCCTGCTTAGTATATCTTACAATTGAAAAATAAGGCTCATATTCCCTCTCATCTTCAGCAGCTGTGATCCCTCTGCAGATGTTGCTCTGTCAGACATTTCATTATGTGTGATAGAAAACATAGGTTCTTTTTGTCTGTCTGTTGCTGCTTTGTGGGTTTGATTTTCTTTTCCTTTATTTACTCCTTTGGCCATAGATGAGTCCTTCCTTAGTACTTCACTTTATTTCCTATTGCTGCTGCTTTGCCTTCTTTCTAAGTACAGAAACGATGGAGAACTTGCAACTGTGCAGAGCTGCCCAACAGAAGCCCATTGATTCTCCACCAAAGGGCTCTGTGGAAGCCATTCTACTTCAGCCTGAAAAGAAATCTTTGTCCCTGCAGCTGGTAGTGCCTTAAGATGCCGATAGTTGCCATATTTTTGGAAAACTGTAGCAGTTTATCAGACTGTTTGACACTTCCCATTCAGCTGTATATTCTTGAGCATTCTCTAGTGTTTGCTTCCTCTTCTACATCAGTCTTATGAGTGTGAGGCTGGTCAGGAGCAGCCGGGCCTCATGGTGAGGTATGCTGGGCCAAAGTCATTTGGAGGCAAACGGTGAAGGAGGAGAAATCTGGAGTGCCAATGGTCATACTTGAAAATGGTAGTAATGGATTTAGCATTTGGGGCAGGAGGTATGGAATTTGTCATGCTGGCTTAGTATTTTCCTGGCTGTATTCCAGGACTGTTCAGATATTTTTAGTATGAAGTACAAGCAATGTTGTCTCAGTTGACCTTGGAGCACGACATTTGAACATGGCATTGGTTTGAATTGCTAATCATTAAAACGATAATTCATATTTTTTTATTACAAGAGGAACTAAAATTCTGGCCATGTTTTGCAGATGAAAAGCGAAGCAAACCAAAACCTGCCTTCTCTTGACTTGCAGTCCTTCATGATATTCATGTTTCTTAAACTACTGTCTTCATCTCTTCGTACATCATTAAAAGTAGTTATGCCTAGCTTTGTTTTTGTCACTTGTCTTTTGGTCATTTGACAAGTATTATACCAAAATGACAGAAATTAATCCCAGGGTCTCACAGTGTTAAATGAGAAGCATAGAACAAAAGGATGGTTTCTGCTGCAAAAAAAATTTATGACCTTAATAGACGTTTATAGCTGTTATCTAGAAGGCAAGAAGCTACCAGTATATTTATGCCAGTGATTTCTCCCTCTTTGCCTCTGTTCGCAGAGTAAAGTTTACCAGAAAGATCAAGCCTCTAAATGCCAAGTTCTGTTCAGCAGATAGAAGCAGTATCACCACATCAGGATATCAAATTAAGACATTTTAAGACATTAATGTACAATGAAGGAAGAAGGGTTAAATCAACCATAGATATAGCTAAAAGTGTATGAAAGTTTGGATTCAAGTTTTCAAGTCCAAATTTATTTCAAGCTTAGTATCTTTTACTCCTAATGGTCTTTTTGAGTAGCTTTAATTTTTGGAGACTGTGTTCATTGAGTCTTACATTTGCCAACGTGAACAGGACCTCAGAGAAAATGAGAACCATTGTTAAGATGCATTTTACTGCCTCAGTGGTGCAGAAAAGCCTTTGGCTGAAAAAAGCATCAAGGTCTTGTTGACATTTTCTATCTATTAAGTAAGCACAAACTCAAGTATCTGATGTAGATTCAAAGCAAACAGAAAAACAGACACAGAAAGAAAAAAAAAGGAAAAAGAAAAAGAAGAAGGAAAAGAAAAAGAAGAAGGAAAAGAAGAAGAAGAAGGAAAAGAAGAAGAAAAAGAAAAAGAAAAAAAGAAAAAGAAAAAAAAAGAAAAAGAAAAAGAAAAAGAAAAAGAAAAAGAAAAAAGAAAGAAGAAAAAAAAAAAAGAAGAAGAAGAAGAAAAAAGAAAAAAACAGCCTTCTGGCATGGTTTAAAGATTCACCAATCAGCACCAGAAGCTGAAACCAAGATGTGAATATAAACCTCTCTTTGACTGCCCTGGCAACTGAGAAGTCCACAACCAATTTCTAAATCACATGGCAGATCTCCCAATTAATGCCCAAAAGGCTGTTTCCTTGAAATCAGAGTCACGCTATAGTTCCTTTCATACATCGGAAGTGAGTAAATCAGTGAATAATGCAACCCCCTTCCTGTCTGCCAGAACTCTGCCAAACCAAGCACATGGGGCTGGGTTCAAGCAAACTGTTACTTGTTAAAGTAACGTAAAGGATTTGTGTTTTGGAGGGGTTAAAATTGCTCAGATAAAGGGAAAACTTACAGAAGATCCGCAGGTGCCTGCATGAATACTCCCCAGTCTCTCTGATGCGAGCTGGCAGGTCCCATAAAGCCGCTCAGCCTTGAACAGGGAAGGGAAGGGAAGGAGGCAGAGAGCAAGAGCTCCAGCTGCGACTCCAAAGCCCCAGAAAGAGCCTCTAACCCAATTCCCTTCAAGTGCACAAGCCTCGCGAACTGCAGCATCTGTTTGCCACTGTATTCACTGAGTTCACAGGGCAAACAAAAGATCCATATCAAGCATGCATCCTTCCAGAGGGGGAAATCCTTCCTTCCTTCACCCATATATTTGCCTTTCTTTTCTTTCCGTTATTTTCTTTTTTTTTTTTCCAGGGGAGGTGAGGGAGAGGGGGGTTGTCACTAATTATTTTTTTTATAGTAATTAAGAGAGCTAACACCAGCTAGGCTAGAGTGAACGCAAACAAGACCCCTATAGGCAGCACAGTGCATTAATGTAAAATATGCCCAGACAACATAACTTGTCAGAGAGGATTATTTCTGCTTAGTGAATCTGCAGGGGCCCCTTTGCTCCACCACTCAGCGTCTGCCTAGAGAGAGAAAGAGTAGCCATTAGTGAGTAGCTACTGTGGCATTGATGTTTGAGCGCACTTCTGAACTGGCTTTTGTTGAGAATATCGGTGCAGAAAGCATGCGCTGTCCCAAATCCGCTGTTACTATGAGAAATGAGGAGCTGCTTTTAAGGTATGTTGTCTCCTTTGTTTTAACGCGTGCTTTCGAGTTGCCTGGGCCCGCTGCAACTATATCCGTGCTGGGTATTAAGTAGTTTCCCTATTTAAAGGAAAAGACAGGCATTGCTGCGTGCAGGGAGCGTTTCCATGAGTTAGAACTGCACATTTCATGTATGACGACAAATGTACGGAGAGGGCAAGGAGGGAAAATATAATATTTATGTATCTTTCTTTTTTTCTTTCTTTTTTTTTTTTTTTTTTTTTCCCCTTAAATGAAAGGCGGTATTTCTTTTATCACCTCCTTTGCAATATTTCTGCCTGCCTCATTATTATGCACTGGGCATGGAATAAGCATGGAAAAAGCTCAGGGAGACTCCATATTAGAGCTAGTGCCCTAAATACCACTTTAATTTTCACTTACCCTATGTAAATAGTTATTAATGCTCTGCCTCGTCCTCTCCACTTGAAGATGTTTTAAAAATACGTAGATACTTCTGCATGTGGGATTATACATATATTCTTTATGCTCCCAGGTTTAGCGGGGGGCCAGCACCGAGTTCTCTTTTCAGAGACACACACAGACACACAGACACACACACACACACAGAATTATGCTGGAATTGGCACCCCGCTTTGAAAAATGTAGTCTTTTGTTTATTTGCTAGCAGACATCATAGCACTGAATACATCTTTTGGTCTGACAATGGGACAGCTGAACAATGGTGCTGTCAAACTAGCTTAATGTATGTCTGGCAATGGGGTGTTTTTGTTGTTTTTTCTTTCCTTTTCTCAGCCCCTTTTTCATTTCCCTTAATCTTTCTGTGTATGCAGTATAATATGAAGTCTATTGCCTAATTTGTGAAGGTTGTTTCATCTGAGATCCGCTGCTAGTAGTGCAGGGAGGGGGAGGTTTGCGTCTTACAATTATGTCCATGGCATTAAGTTGGAGATTTATTGGTATCATCCTCTCCTTTAACTGTGAAGAGAAAACTTATTGATTCTGAAAGCTTACAATACTGCTGTCAATCTGGCGAATGCATAGTTGCCAAATGTGCCCTTGCATGATTTTATGCCCGATCATATCAACTTTAACTGCTGTTTTGAAGATACTGCTTCTAATTTTGTTTAGGTAATGAAAATGCAATAAAAATGATAAATCAGATCTCAAAGTGGGAGCCTATGCTACTTTCCATTTTTATAATCCAGCTATTAGCATATGTTAGAATTTTTAAGGTCAGGCAGAATAATTTACCTGGATGATTCCTATTCATATCCCAAAATCTAACAAATTATTCATATGACATTTTGTGAATTATGTATCTATTTTGACAGCCATAGTTTAGGATCCGAACACTTAACAGTTTTTGTTTTGCATCTGGAAAAATGTTCACAGACATGATGCACTAGGAAAATAAACTGTTACAAAGCTCTTCAAAAATTTGGAGTCTTTACTTGAACAGCAGCCTGTGTCTTAAATGAAATGAATTGTCATCAGTCTCATGGAGTTTCTGAAGCTATGTAAAGCCTTTAAATAGTTTGCATCTTAAGTAAATGCATCACTTTCAGTTTAATTGTAGTCTTTACTTCCGAGAGAACAGGTAGATGGTTGTCAGTGTGGTTTATTTTTTGCTTGGATCAATTAATCTTAAGGGCTTTGTGATTATTTTTTTTTTTTTAATCTGGATCCTAGTGCATGATTTATACAGGGTCAGGACCCCTTAATTTAAAACAAAACAAAACAAAACAAAACATTAAAGATTTATTGGTACGGATCAAAACTTTCTAAGCATGTATTTTCAACAGCAGTGTTTTATGGGGAGACTCTGAGTGTTCGCTATGCTTCTTTGCATTTTTTCTATCGTTGTCTCATCTCCTTCCCTTGTGTGTTGAGATGGTATAAATCAATACGAAAGAGTTTACATGAATAATAAGGTAATATCGCATAAAATACGCCTGAAGCGTAGAGGTTATGGATTATCAGGTGGTGCCTGCATACTGTGTGCTGTGCATAAACATGAAGAGTGCACGGATTGCGTTTAGTACAACGGGACCATGCAGTAAATCACTTTCTTGGGAGAACTTCTTTAGAGCCAAACATTAACTAGTTCACAACTGCTCCCCACTGCCAGCACTGGGTGCGTTGTGTTTTACCAAGTTATCCGCCTGCAGTTTGTGCTCTCTGGCAGCTGATGCCCTTTGTGCCGGGAAGCCCGGTGAGCAGCTCGCTCCGCTGACATGGAAATTCCCCTTTGGTGACTGCCCAGAGTAGGGTGGGTGCCACGTCTGTAGCAGACACCCAGAGACAACCTGGGCAGCACACTCACCCTCCACTTACAAGGACTATTCAATACTAAAACTCTTTCCCAAGCGCTCTTCTCACAGGTGAGTTCATACCAAACTTTCAGTAGCTCCTATGTTTTCAGATTAAATGCTGCATAAAATCCATAAAATGAAGATTTTTTACTTAGATTGCCAATTACTTTGTATTTTTCCAAAGGTGTTTTCTGACATTCCATTCACATCAAAGACTAATTTTTGAATTAGTCTGTGTGAATCCTGCTACAAAAAAAAAAAAAAAAAAAAAAAAGTATTTACTGAAATACTGCTTTTTGAGCCATAACAATTATTATTAACATCAAAGAAAGTGAAGCAAATCTGTAACATATGCTATTTCTTAGCATGCCTGAACAAAATTGTTGGCTTTTGAGAGACTGTATAGGTTTAGAGCTCTCATGCTCTTAACATCACAGGTGTCCTCAACCTTACCTATGCTAAATCTCGCCCATTCACAAAGCAATGTGGTGCCTAGCAGTTGTCAAACTTGGCAACATCTGTTTCCATAACAGTGCTAAGAGAGCTAATACAGAGACTCTGCATGAGTTGTTATTTGTTCTTGCAATGACCAGGAGTAATGCCAAAAAGAAATACTGTCCTTGGTCGTACCTGGTAGAGCAAGGTGCTAATGTGGGACTTGGCTTTCCATTCTGCCATGGGAAATGGAAGTGAAAGATATTTATTTATTAGCCTGGAATCTTTGTCTTTATTTTTTCCGGATTCACAAAGCACAATCTGTAACATCAACATGTTAATATTCTCTTTGTTAAATGAGAATAAAACTGAAGTGTTTCTGTTATCAAATTTACGTATATAAGATTGCAAACTATACCTTTGGGGCTGAAAAACAAAGGAGGGCATTCAATTAATATTCATATCTAGAAGTTTTACTGCAAGTGTAGATTGTGCTTGAATACTTAAGAAGTCATTCAGAAGTGAATCAATACTAATTATTGTAATCAGGAGGGTTAATTAGCTGAAGATGCTGCTGATGGAAAGTTCACTGCTTACAGCCCTGAAAACACCTAAGTTGATGAAATCTGAAAGCAAGATGTCGAGGAGGACTTTGTATAGAAAGAAAGGCTTAGCTTTCCTTTGACAGTTGTTCCAAAGGGGAAGCGTGCCTTTTACTTTGTCTTTTGCATGATATTTATTTGGGGAGTATTAGAAGATGCAACTAAATCTGTCTTGATATTTTGTGGTAGTTTCTCATTAAATGCAAGTACCATTTTGGATAACCTGTACTGTCTCCACAGCATTCATTTGCAGATTACCATAAATTAATATGGATAATCCTATGCATTTGAAATCTTGTTCCAGCACTGTTATGGAAAGCAATTATTTTTATTTTCTTTTGCCATTTATGTGCACGCATGGGGTCCTTCCATGTTCTGTATACATAAATTGCACATGCTCTCTGTCTAACATGCATATATACATCAGTGTGTATGTACACCACATGCACTTGTGCACACAAGTTTAAACATTTGTTTATTGTGACTGTTTATTTCTATAATCCCCTTCCCCTAGAAGTTAGTTTTGATCTGCAAAAAATTATTCAACTACACATAATTCAGGGATGAGCTATTGAACAAGTAATTCATGAAATATAAGTCAGATTATAAGGGATAAAAGCTGAAAACAAACAACAGAAGAAAACCATTATCTTTTCCCTTAATTAGAGCACTTGAGTTTCTTAAAGTGAGCGTTACTGAATTCAGGAACATCTAACTGTACCAAATCATATCTCACAGATGAATTGTGGCAAGCTTTTTTCTCTAATGATGGCTAGTTTTTTTGTGTTGTATTTTTTCCCTCTAGTTACATCTGCTAGGGTTATAACCAAGATGAATGTCTGGACATTTATCTGAGCACATTGTAAAAAAATAAAATAAAATCTCTCTCTTTCACACACACGCTCATGTAAACTCCCTGATGTAAAGTGATGTTTTTAAAAGAAAGAAATTCTGTTTCAAAACATATTCTTCTTCACTCTCTTAATACATTAGAGATTATCATGTGCAGGTGCTATTTGTCTTTGCAACTGCTTCCCTATGACTGTTTTACTGCTTCCAACACGTTTACTTGTATGTCAGCCATATAAAAGGGAACTGAAAATGGCAGCTGTTGAGAAAGCATGTCGCCATGCCTGGAATGACATGCATTATCAGGGCAGCAGGAGTTGCTGGCTCCACAGCCCATTCCGACTTGACCTGCTGAATGATTGGCTGCCTGGGATAGTGATGAATCGCTGGAGTTTATGAAACAGGACTGCTGGCATCCTCACAGAGGAAACAAAAACTGGATTTTTCCTCTAACTCTCATGTCATGGCAAAAACACAGCTTTTCTGTTGTTGCTTTGCTTTTGTGTTACTTCACCCTGCAGCGGAAGCAAATGCAGCAATTAAACTCACTTTAATACTGGTCTTGGCAAGTTAATGCTGCGCTGAAGATTAACTCTCTTTCTGGGATGGATAAAGACAGTGAATGTCTAAGTAAGAATTTTCCCAAATTTAGGGTGAATCTTGATCTGGACCCTAATTTTTTCATCTCCCATTCCAGTCTTGAGACTTACATACCCTAAGTACTAATGAGCTCAAGCAGGATGCAGAATGGATTTTAGCTACTCTTACAACTTTATTCTCACTGCTCTGCTAAGGAGCAGTGACCATTTCTTGG